TCTGACTGAACTCTCGCTTTGTGGACTTTAATAAATTTATAAGAAAAAATAAACATTTTTAGAGAAAATAATATGTATAAGTCTGGATATTCTAACATACATTTTGTGATAACTTCAAAATTAAACAATAATGAAACACGAATGATTTTGATTTTGTATAATTGATGGAATATTGATTTAAAATAACAACTTACAACTATCTAAACTTATAAATATCTGGAAGAAAACGGAATACCGCGTCACTAAGGTTCTCACAACAAGAAATATTTTTCTTTTCTTTTTTGTTTAGACTTTAGAGTATAGGTGTCGCTAGGCACTGACACAGGGGCCCCATGTTCCGATTTTATTTGACAGTGCCCCGAAATCCCAGTTGGTGACTTGAAAAATCAGAGTGGAAACCGTGGTCGATTTCATACTGAAACGCAGAAAATCCCCCTGCGTCTATGGGTCCGAGCCCCGTCTCTTTTAAACATCTAACGACACCTCTACCCTACAGTTTTTAAAACAACACAATTATGGCTTCTGAAGTATTTCGTCATCAACTAAATAACTTGCAGGTATGAAAGCGTAGTTTTAAGAAAAGAAAATCATTTATCAAATATAAATATAGACATATATATTTATACATTTTACCAATCGTTCCTATTGATGTCGACTTTCCACTAGTGCAAGTAAATAGTATAAAGTATTATTATTTGCCACTAGATGCCCCTAGTGTTTTTCTAGAGGAATATACACCCTTTAAATTTTTGTGCTATCATACTTGCTTCATGATGCTGTATTTTTTAACAAAAAACGACATTAGTTTTTTGTTTTTGTTTTATACTGATTTATCTTTATACACGTGTGTCTCCAAGTGAATATTTTAAAACCTAGAATTTTAAACGGAAATGTATGGGCACTGAAATATTATTAAAAAAGAGAACATCAGTGAGAGAAGTTTTAAAGAATATCTTTTTGCTTCATATTTAATGTTTGTTAGACTTTTTTCAGCAATATGCTAAGTCTATCTTCAGGTTTGCGAACAAACAATTTAGATGAATTTATTGAAATAAATACTGCGAACATCTATTAGTCACATCAAAATTAAATGAGTTTAAGTCTCACAATCAAAGCTCGTTTATCAGGCAAGCTGCCATGTTTTAAATTGTTTGTATGTTTGTTTTTTAGCACAAAGCTACACAATGGGCTATCTGCGCTCTGTCCACGGCAGGGAATCGAATCCTGGATTTTGGCTTTGTAAATCCGTCAACTTACCGTTGACCCACCGGAGGATCATGTTTTAGATAAAGGTTCAATCATTTATCTAACTGCACTGAGTTTATTCTTTAGAAGCAAAACGGGATTTTGGTAGAGCTTAACAATTTTTCAAAACGTTTCAAGAACCAAAAATAGATGGTTTAAAACCATTTTATTTTGTCGAATGTATGTGTGTGTTTTTCATAGCAAAGCCACATCGGGCTATCTGCTGTGTCTACCAAGGGGAATCGAACCCCGATTTTAGCGTTGTAAGACCGTAGACTTACCCTTGTCTCACTGAGGAGAGGGGGCATTTTGTCGAAAAGTACACTGAAATAGTCTGGACGTGTCAGACTTGTTTAAACAACTAATAACTCCAGAAATGATAGTAGTAGTAGTTCGGTCAACGTCTTCTTTTAATAATCTATTCAGGAGTAACCTGCTACATGAACTGATAAACACACTGAATTAATGTTACCAATCGCTCCTGAAGTGACACTACCAATTAGTGCTTATAGTTGCTTCTGAAAAAGTTGTAAAAACCAAAAATTTAATGCATCAAAATATCTAGTTCTTGAGTTAGTAATTTTTTAATAAAATCAAACATTTAAATTTTCTTTATTCAAAAAAGTTTGCTGCTTAAAGTTGCAAAAATGGTTGAAGAAATCACTAAGAGAATCTGTGCATACAATCAACTAGTTGGAAAGTTATCTGTAGATGAGTGTTTAGAATCAAGAAGTGTTGTATGTATTAACAAAAATAGTTATCGTAGTTCGTTACAGTAAATTTGAATACACAATACAGCGTTTGAATAAGTAGCTTTATGTGTCTTATTAATTAACTATTTTTTCACCATAGTCTTGTCTTTGAGACTCGAATTGATCATTTACCGTCTTATACAGCAAAATTAGTTAGACGTCATTGTAAGGTTGTTGAACCGGGTTCGAATCCATGCGGTACCTCAAAGTATTCCGTGCCCTTTAAAAAGCGTGGGTGCGTTATAAGCGTGACAGTCACTCCTTTAGCGTGGAGAATGAGTGATAACAGTTTGAAATTAATGAAGGCGGTAGAAAGCCTTAATAGTTTTAGCATAAATTCAAAATGTAAGGTTGTGGCGATCGGACATCAAAATATGTCATGGTCAGTGACCTATACGATCATCTAGGTCTGACTACTAATTAGTGATTGTTATTATTACTGAATACCAGTTATAAATTAATGTCTAAGTAGTAATTAGAATCTAACAATAAAAACAGTAAATTATTAGAATGGGGTAACGATATTTTGATAAATTTTAAACCTAAATCTTATCTTACGCGACACGTTAATTAAACGGCCAAGGCAAGAAACTTCAAAGTTAAAATAAGGTTGTTCTTTATTTTCATCTGTTGACCAGTTGAATAACAAACAGTTAGCAGCACGCTTTGTCTAGGTGAATACTCCTAACAAATAGCGGGATCCAATATCTTTAACGCGCCTACAGCTGAAAGTGCTCGAACCTTGGATCTTCTACTCTGCAGTTCGTTTGTAATCTAACTATAAGGTCACACCCAGTACCTAAGGCTGCTAATCATCACAAAAGTAAATTAATTATTTTGGTTTTGATATAAAGTATGTATTACCATTCCGGATATATTCCTACGAGTATTATGATTTTTTAAACAGCCACCAGTTAGTTTGTAATCCTATAATTCCAAATAAACATGTTATGTATTTTACCCAGGGCAGATACAATACTAAAACGTTAACTAGTCTATTCGCTATTTGTGCACATTTTAACTTGAATATAAAACAACAATTTCAGTATTTCTTGAGATGCTCTGCATATTTCTAAAGATCTATTAAACCGCCGCGGATAGATATTCCTACGCGCATATGTGGACCTAACCAGGACGACAAAATCAGAATTTATTATTATACTTTATAATATACTAACATATACAATGCATCTGTCGAACTAAGCTAGAAAGATGACGAATCATAATTTACCAGAACTCACTGTATTTTCTTAAAGCGAGCGATCAGTACTAGAATGACATAGTCAGAATTATTATAATACCCAATATTTATCGAGTCTAAATAGTCAGAGCGTAAACTTTTTGTTAAAAGTAATCTTAATGTAATAACAATATTTTAGAAATTACTATTCAGCAAACTCTTCTTAATTAGCACTAGACAGACCAAATTTGTCAGTGTAACAATGGACGTCATTGGGGTGGGGACGATGTCCCCTCCCTCAAGCGAGGGGAGGTGCTTTGAATAGCAGTTTCTTCGAGACGTTACTAGTCAAACAAATTATCACATATACGCAAATTACGCCATAGCTGAATTGGTGGGTCCATGCGAGGTCAATTTAACATACGTGGCCTAGTAATTAAAGTGTCAATATGCGGATCGAAGGGTCCGAAGTCCGAGACGTAAAGTTTCTAAAAACGCTTCGTCATGTTTAGTTATACCTGATAAACCCAAGAGATCTATGATCAGGCCATTTAACTCGAGTATGCTTACAGTGCCGTTCAGATTGAAAATTAGAATCCATAAAAGTAACCTAATACTTGATATATGTTCCAAAATTCTTCCCTCGCCCAACCATACTAATGATTCAAAAGAGGTTCGTTCTAAGGAAAAAAACAACAACATTTAATACAAATCTCATTAAAATACAATTATATGTTTTATCCTAATAAGCACGTTATCTGCCTTTTATTCTAATAAGATCCCGTCATTCGGTTCAAAGAGATTGACAAAGCCATTGTGGTGGTAAGTGCTACTGGCTAGCTCCGTTCCCTGTTTTCAGTAGTTCAAAATAAAAAAAAATGGCTATACCTGATGAACCCAAGAGTTCTATGAACTGGCCGTTTAACTCTGGTGTGCATACAGTGCCGTTCAGGTTGAAAATTATATTTTCTAAAAGTAACCTTCAATACAGATCTAATTAAAGTAAAATCATGTTGTTTTTTATTCTAATAAATACATTCTCTGCCTTTTATTGTGTTAAGTAACCCATAGTAAAGTAAAGAAATAAAGTATTTGGTGAGTCGCAGTGGTACAAAACAAAGAGGTTTCCAGACTTAAAAGAAAGCGTAATTATAGTGTTGAACGAAAAGCCTCTAAGTCAGCAGCTTATGGCAGGGAAAAAGAAAATAAGAAATATCTAGAATGTCATTTTCAGGCGCTTATAATTCGAACTATTTAAAGGACTATAACTAAGGGATATGTGAAGAAAAACTGTTAGCGATTAAGTGTCATTTTAATCACTTTTCTTGGCCAAGGAAGAACACGCACTCTGCCTGAAAGATAGAAAAAAAATTGAGTTGTAATAGAAGTAAGTTATTAAGTTTTAGTCGTGAGAAAGATCACAAACTACTTCTGGTTATATGAAATCAGTTGGTTTCCTTGGTAACCAAAACCATACCTTTTCCCCCTATAAGTTCGGGGTTCTCTATACAGTATATGTCTCTTCCTGCCTTAGCGTTTTGAAAGTAGAACCTTCACTATATATTGATTTATTGCTCACTCTGACCGCTTGTATAGTGCACAGCGCACACGCACATATGTATTCCATGTTGGATCGGAACATTTAGGGTTAGACGCTTCAGGAAAGCTGGCGTGCGATTCTTGTAGTGTAATACCTCGCGTGTTACATCACAAAACTAGTCAGTGAGCCATGATTAACATGATTTCTTCATCTTTCAAAAAATACGACTTTTCTCTTCTTAACAAGACATATTGATGATATGAACGACTAGGGGGGCTTACCCGTTCTGAAGAGAGGGCGCTATCTTCTGTAAGAAGAACAAAAGGCAGTAGCGTCATTAGTAAAGCTGATTCGTGAGTTACACATGAAGCGTAAACTTGAACGTCACAATTCTACAACAGTGTTTAACATTGGAGTAGAATTACTATAGACAGACAGTAAAGGACAAGCTTGTATTTCTTGTGCAACATCAATCACCGAGGAACGCCTGAGAGAATCACACTTCCATAAGTAAGTCTTTGGTGATTAATTTATTTCATTTTACGTATTTACTTTGCACGTCCTACAAGTTACAACAACTAACTTTCTTCAAATAAAGATATATGAAAATATCAAATTGTTATTTTTATTTACGTTTCGTACACGGAATTAAACATAGTTGCAATACTTCTTGTAATTGTGTATAAACAGTTTGTTTTCTAAAAACAGCGTGGCTCGTCTTATCAGATCATTCAGGACTGACAAAAGTAAAAGCGTTAAATTTACATGCCTAGTATCAGGGAACTGCAACAACACTGTCTGAATGACTCGTTTATAATTTGAACATTAGTCATTTCATTAACAGCTTTGTTAGAGTAAGTTTATAGTATCAGTACCATTGTTTGGCATAAATGTTTAATATCAGAATACTTTGTTTGATACCATCAAGAAGTTATACTTTAAATCTAAAATATCATCAGGATTTTGATTTTGAATAACGGAAATTAAAGACCGATAAAATCTAAAATTTGTGTTTCTTTTAATGATAAATAAAATTTTGAGGACTTTATCATGTGAGGTACGAAATGTTGTGGTCTTAAAGTGAAGTTAAGCTGTCAAGATCATTGTGTGTGTGTGTGTGTGAGAGTGTTTTATTTTTTGGCGATAGAAAAAGGCTATTAGAATAACTTCAACGTAACTACCATGGTGTTGGTCTGACTGAAGTGGCATCCTGATACTAAACCAGTTAGTGTCACAATGCTGTGGTTAATGTGACTGAGAAAGTGTTATGATTTGTAGGTTTTGATGCAAGGTCCTTTACTCACCATTATTTATGTCATTCACAGATTTTTCTTCCTTTCACTGAAATCAAACGTTTGGTGAGAAAAAAGAAGGAAAAATTCGAAGAAATGTAAAAAATTCGTATATACACCCTCAAAATAGCTTTGGTTTTAACAGTGCATTCATCTGGAAGTATACATAAAAGTATGTCGTCCCCAAGTTTCAACCTGTTTTCGGTAGCATTTGTGCTGAGCCGGGCGTTGCTTCGTGATTAGCGTGTCTGGACTCTGAATTTGGAAATTCATGGTTCGCGTCCCGGTGAGGCAAAACTCGTTCTGCACTTTAGGGCTATGGATAGAGTATAAGAGTGACGGTTAAATCCACTATTAAATGAGTTAACAGTAGTCCATATGGGGCTATGGATACAGTATAAGAGTGACGGTTAAATCCACTATTAAATGAATCAACAGTAGTCCATATGGGGCTATGGATACAGTATAAGAATGACGGTTAAATCCACTATTAAATGAATCAACAGTAGTCCATATGGGCTATGGATACAGTATAAGAGTGACGGTTAAATCCACTATTAAATGAATCAACAGTAGTCCATATGGGGCTATGGATAGAGTATAAGAGTGACGGTTAAATGCACTATTAAATGAATCAACAGTAGTCCATATGGGGCTATAGATAGAGTATAAGAGTGACGGTTAAATCCACTCTTAAACGAGTCAAGAGTAGCCCATAAGTTGACGGTGGGTGCTGATGAATTGCAGCCTCTCTCTCTAAGTCTTTCAGTTCATCATTATAGACGGCTGCGCAGAAATCCTTTGTGTAGCTATGCGCGAACTTATGAAACAAACAAAAGCATTTGTGCTAAAGATCTAACTGCTTATAACGTTTGGAGAAAGCTTGTATGGATAAAGATGAAAACTTTATTACACGTTCAACAGTAACAAATTTACAGTGTTTCGATAAGGTTTTGTCATCAACAGGTACCCATGAAGTTTTCTTTGTTATCCATTAAAACCATCTCCAAGCTTTATAAGTCTCCAAATAAGTTTCTAATTATCAAAAACTTAACAAGTTGGGTAATACTTTATACAAATAAACAGTTGAATATGACACTAGAAGGCGTCATAGTATATGAATCCTCACTTGTTCTCAAAATAGTGCTAATTTTAATCACACAAAACTTATGCTTGTCTTTATATAAATCAACCTGTGGCATGATTATTGATTTTAGGCAGCCGATTCAAAGGAATGTGTTATCACTAATCGAAAAACAGTCATGGTACCGAACATACTTGGGTGTAAAAGGATAAATATATCCAAGTGTTTATATGTCAATCATAAAATATTATATGGGCCCGGCATGGCCAGGTGGTTAGGGCGCTCGACTCGCAATCAGAGGGTCGCGGGTTCGAATCCCCGTCACACCAAACATGCTCTTCCTTTCAGCCGTGGGGGATTATAATGTGACGGTCAATCCCACTATTCGTTGGTAAAAGAATAGCCCAAGAGTTGGCGGTGGGTGGTAATGACTAGCTGCCTTCCCTCTAGTCTTACACTGCGAAATTAGGGACGGCTAGAGCAGATAGCCCTCGTGTAGCTTTGCGCGAAATTCAAAACAAACATAAAATATTATCACAAAACATAGAATCAACGAAAGATGTGTGTGTGTTACTTAATGTCCTATTTTCGTCGTTTCAATGTAATTTATATATGCTAAAAATATGTTGTTTTTTATATTTGACTTTCACCATGAATGATCCATATGGACATTCAATAATATACTGAAGGAATACTTAGAAAATGACAAACCTACAGTAGACGCAACAGAAGAAACAATAATTAAACACTAGTAACAGGCATTAGATGTAAAATGTATACGGAAACTTTTCAATTTGAAAACATCTTTATCTGGAGGCTCCCTTTCAGTAGTAAAAGTAAGCCTGTCAGGTCCTGAACGGCGTATCGGTTATAACCTTAGTGCTGGTACACAATACCGGTAAATCGTTTTGTCAAGGTCATTTTATGTTTCCAGTTATCATAACGATTTTTACTGATATTGTTGGTGTCATGTTACATAGTTGTAAAAAATAACTGCGTTTCAGACTCCAACTCCCGAGCCCCCCAGTGGCACAGCGGTATGTCTGCGGAGTTACAACTCTAGAATCCGGGTTTCGATACCCGTGGTGGACAGAGCACAGATAGCCCATTGTGTAGCTTTGTGCTTAATTACAAACAAACCAACTCCCGATCAGGTAGGAAGTATTCACGTGATTTAGGTATTATTTTTGATTCCATTCCAACTTAAAAAACATTTTAAATTAAACTTTGAAAATCTTTTATTTTCTATTAAGTGTAGTAGTTGTTAATATTAAAATGTGTATATTCAAATTGGTGAAGCTTCGGTCCGCATAAATTAGTAATGTTGATTTGTATAAAATATGAGAGAAGGGGGGGGGGGGGTAAACACTGCTACCGACGGATAAGAAATTAAAGTTACTTTCACCACTGCTTCCATTACAGTAAAAGCATGGCGTCACTGTTTGTAAAGTGATCTGGCGGAACAAATGTCAGGAGATTTAATCTACTAACATGATGATCCGTATTTAAAATTCTACTCTATATAAGCTACAAATTTGTCTAGCGGATCTCCCTCCCTCTGTCTCGCTGGGTTAGTGTTAATGATTTGGAAAATTTGCCTCGTAGATAGATGCAAAAATAATTTTGATAAATTTTAGTGCTATCCTATATTTAAGTACAAAAGTAAGCTGTTCACGCCTACTTCCCCAAAATCAACGATGTGAGAAGCCCCTTGGTAATGTGGCTCACATACAGATACTGATTTGTTCTAATTGAGGGATTAAGCCACAAATTACGTGTAACGTGTCGCAAGTCCAACAAATAACTTCTCACTGGCTTTATGAGTAAACTGTCATTTTCTGATTCTATTGGGTGTTATATTAAACTCTTGATTTATGTGTGTTAATTGTAAGCAGGGTGTAATGGTAGGAATGAATGAGGATGATTTTTTATTGTAGTTTAAACTCTTGAAGGATACTAATATCAAACAATATGTTAAATAAGGAAATAGCTAGTTTTAAATATATAGTATAGAAATATTAACAATAAGTTGTTTAAGTGCAACTTTTTAATCTTGTATTTATATTAAAAAAAGGGAAAATTGCTCATTGGATATATATTCTTTGTTCTATTATTATTATTGAAGAAATAACGTAGTTGTTAACTATAGAATTTTCTGAATGCCTGATTCACTTTTCAACCAAGTTTTGTCCCATTCAAAATGACTCTCTTGCCTTCCTTTTCTCAATGGGGTAGAAACAGATTGTGTCAGAAAGCTGATATTTCCCAAAATAAAAGGATGGAACGCTTCAAACTTGTATACGAGGTTAAGAGCTTTTTATATTGAAACTAAAATTCTGCTGAGCAAAAACTGATTATGAAAGTGGAACAAGTGATGTTATCTTGGTTTTATTTAGCCTACTCTACATGCATGCAACAAAACGAAGACGTGTTGAATCCTTTTCATCAAAACTTCATTTTTTTTTCTTTTTTAAATCTACGTACTGAAATTATAAGCATGCAGAAAGATATGACGTCAGTTTTGTCGCTAATTAATCAGTTGGGTACTTGAGCGGAAGGAAACGTGAACAAGAGTATTATCTCGGGTTATCAAAGATACAATTGATGTTTTCTTCATTATTACACTAACGAGAGGAGAAACGTAAGGGGCAGCATGGATCAACGGATAATTAAACGGAAAACAACGGCGATGTAGCCGGAGAGCAAATACACGTATATACATTTTATGGTTCGAACGCTAGTTATTAAACTTCACAAGTAAAACTTCGGATTACAAATGTAAAAGCCCCCCAATGGCACAGCGGTATGTCTGCGGACTTACAACGCTAGAAACCGGGTTTCGATACCCGTGGTGGGCAGAGCACAGATAGCCCATTGTGTAGCTTTGTGTTTAATTACAAACAAACGAACAAATATAAATTATATATCGGTTACTTCAACTAAGTAAACAATTATGATTGAATTCATGTAAATCTGTGTTTTTGTCAATTCTAAAACGTTAAGACGAATAGATTATGTCTAATTTATAAGTTCATCTCTCGATAGCTAGATGGGTGGATGGATTGGTTGACAAGTATTCTACCCGTGAGCCTGTAAACGTGTGGACTTGACTATTTTCAGTAAAATATATTTGT